GGGTGACGATCTCGCACGCAAACTCCCTAAACCTTGACCACATGGCACTCAAGGCTACATCCTGGCTCCAACTGGCCTGGCGCTCCTCTATCCAGGCCTTGCTCAACACTTCCAGGTAACCCAACACCTTATCCTACTTAGCCTTGTCGTCTGGCTGGGCCATCACTTCCTTCCTACATTCCTGCACCTTTGCCACCTCCGCGGCCATTTTGCTCACTTCCTCTCTCCTCCTCTTCTTCTCCCTCTTCATCCTTAACTTCCACGCCAACTTCTGCTCCTCCTCCCTTTCTCGTCGTTCCATAGGGTCTGTCATTGTTGCTAGCTCACTGGCTATCGCAGCCCTCTCATCCTCAGTCACATAAGACTCTGCATCCTCGTCTTCTCCCAACGATAAATTAGCGACCCACTCACTTATCTTCCTCTCAATCTCAACGTCTRTATCTCTCTTCATCATGCCACCACTGCTCCCTTCTCCACTCTCAATTCTCATTCTCTCTTTTTCTTCTTCTGCTGCCGCTTCTTCTTCAGCAACCTTCTTCTTTTTTTCCATCTCCTCCTCCAATTCCTTCATCTTCGCCGCCTGCTCATCTGCGATAGCTTTTAACTTTACTTGCTTCTCGCGCTCTTTTCTCTCCCTATTCTCCTTAACTAAGGCGACCATCTTCTCTTGCTGCTCCTTGGTGTAGGGGCTAGTGTCCTTCCCACTGCGGGTCTCAACCATGGTGAAAAGTGCACAACCGGGTGGTGGTTCCAAACCTCACCACGTCGACTCTAACCCCTGACTGACAGACCTACTGACTCGATCTAAGGACTCGCAGAATCCTGACAAGGATCCTGTCAACTATGGTCTCTAGCTTGGACCTAACTATGGCTGTCACTACTAGACCTGTTGCTGATCAGGAGGNGACTCGCAGAATCCTGACAAGGATCCTGTCAACTATGGTCTCTAGCTTGGACCTAACTATGGCTGTCACTACTAGACCTGTTGCTGATCAGGAGGCATTTAAGGAAATCCCCCGAACTCCTCAGGGATTATTTAACGTCACAGACAGGACGACGCGATCAGCAGGTCTCTCAAGACTTAGACGGTCCGTTGTGCAGCCCACATCTCGGATTTTGAGGCCTACCGTGCCACACCGAGCAGCCCGCCGGTCAGTACCGGTCCTTGGGAGGGTTTGACCTTCGGGACACTCGAGTCGTCAGACACGGCCTTTAGCCCTACTCATCCCGTGTGGGTTTGGTCAACGAGACCCTATCCTTCATCCACAGAGTACTATCACCTAGGACAAAAGAGACTCAATGCAGAAAGAATAGACAGACAGACTGTACTCAGCAAGTACCAAGGGGTATGTGCACATCCATAGGGCAAGGGATAGGCTGAGGGCTTGGCGAGATGTTCCCAACTCCAGCTTGGTCAAAGTCTTGGTCAACACCTTGGTCAACGTCGGTCAACGCTGCGGTCAACCCCCCGGTCAACCTCCGGTAAACGCCGGTCAACACCTCCGGTAAACCCTCTTGGTCAACCCTCCTCTTCCTCGCCAACCCCCTTCTTCTCTTTCACCTTCGTCGCCTCCTTTCACCCCGGTTGTCTTCTTCTTCTTTTTTTTTTGTTTTGATCGGCCTTCTCTTCACCTCTCGGCTATGGCCTCCTTCTCTCCCTTCTCGGTCTTTCCCCCTCTGTCCGGTCTCTCTCCCTCCTTCACTACTCCGTGGTGATGCTCCGCGGTTATGGCCGCTTCTTCCTCCTCCACGTGGGACTGCACAGCTCGCTTCACAGGTAAGTGACAACCAAACTTGTATCGCTCATCTCTCTCTCTCTCTCTCTCTCTCTCTCTCTCTCTCTCTCTCTCTCTCTCTCTCTCTCCCCATAGCGGTATCTTCAGCGCAGCAGGTACGTAGTAACCCAATCTTGTATCGCTCAACCTTTCTCTCTCTCTCTCTCTCTCTCTCGGTCTTCTTCTTCGTTGTGGTCTTCTTGCAGGTGCGCGGTGGCTTCTCCAACCTCAGGTCCGCTATGGCGGACTATGCCCCTCGGCGGCCACCTCTGCTATGGCGCATCAGGCCCTGCTCACGATGGCGCGCATGGAATAGCGAGTACCAGCTCCGATACCAATGCAATCAGACTCGTACTCATTCACACTTTTCATGCATGTAAACAGCAACGCAGTAAACTGGCGACATGCGCCCAAACAAAACTCAGAGATATGGCTTYCAGATACGAGTTCACTCTCAACTGGCTATGGCGACTCAGCGCCCAAACAACTCACTGTTCACATACACTGGATCACCCTGGATATCCCACACGCGTAATTCTGAACACTCGCACATACACACACACACTTCACTCGAACTTCAGCTATGGCAGCTATGGCTGCCACTACCCTATCGCTATGCTAACTCCTCCTCTCTCGCCCACTGCGTCCTCCGGGCTCATCTGCAGACCTCCTTGCACAAGTCGCTTGTGGCAGCGCTTCCGCATGGCTCACACAGGAATGAATCAAAGGCTGGGCGCTGCCTCTTGATTTATACTTCGGAAACTCGTTGGTCTGCCCTTTACCATCGGCCCATGGTGCTCACATCCCCCCGTGGTACTTGCTGGACCAGACTGGGACTGTCTGGACCTTACCGCTGACTGACTGTGGACTTACTGCTATCCTACCGTCGTCGTACTGCGATTGCACTGCAGTTTAGTCCACCACTTGCCTCGCCACTTGACCCTTGCCCACTTGCTGACCTACGCAGGTCTACACAGATACTGTACATGGGTGTGTGAAACGATGACACACACTTAGGGCCTGCTAACACTAGGACTTTTCACTTTTCTCTGTACATAACTGCGGTCAGATACATCTAGGTCGGGGTCCAAGTGTGAGTACACCCTAAATTGAGAAGAAAAGAAAAACCACAATTTCGACCGGTCGGCCCTACTGGTCGGCTGCAAAACGGTCGGCAGGTATGCAGCGCTGCCATCGAACCAAAAAAAAAAAAGGAAAAAAAAAAAGAAAAAAAAAAAAGGAAAAAAGAGAGACATCACCGAAACACCCACACGCTTGCTTCTGTCTGGCCGAAGGACCCCTGACCAGCATGATGACAACTACAATCAGTTTCTTCCATACTTGTGGCGCACTGGAGCGGTGCGCGATGCGGTGCGGTGCGCCGTGCGGAATGCGCGTGGTGACACCGTGCGCGCATGTGCACACGCACGCGCACGAGGTGCGCCGTGCACACAGCGCATGGGGACGCGCTACCCCTGCAAGGTGCGCACTGTGCGCCATGCCTCTTTTCGGTGTGTGTGTGTGTGTGT